AAAAATATATATATATATATATATATGTCTAATAATGCATGTCAGCTGTAGTATGAAGCCAGGTAAGGGCGATCACAGGCACATGCTGTGCCCTAAGGGACCTCCTTCCTTTCCCCAAGTCAAGATATTGTCACCATGAGGTTTTATTCTAGACATGCTGTTCCATCTGCCACATTCCTTTTTCCTAAGAAAGCAGTTTGATAGGATCGGAATTTATTACTGTGATTGTCCAATGGTCTGTATCCCTGGTGCATCTTACATTCACAAGTAGCCAGAGAGACCACCTCTCCTAGAATCAAGTCACCACACTGGCACAAACAGCTCTGGTAACCAGAGAGACATTGCAGGAGCTAGTTTGGGAAGTGAAAAATACCTGAAACTGAAAAGTAATTTTATTTTCCTTTTTCTTCTCCCCTATCCCACCATTCCTAGTTTTACTGGGATCTTTGCATCAGAGAAAACAGAATTAACAGTAACTTTATTTCTTTTTCTTTTCTGCCCTAGTATTACCAGAACCTTTGCATCGGGGAAAACAGAAAAGGTGATCTTTCAAGCACTCAAGGAGCTAGGTCTTCCCAGTGGAAAGGTATTCATTAATCTAATAATGTGTTTCTAAAACCACTTTGTGTATTTATGTTCTCATGTAATAAACAAGATTGTATTAAACTGATTCAGTTAGATTCAGAATTAGATTCAGTCACACATAGTACAGTCAATTTTTCCTTTATTCTCTTTCCTTCTATCCTTCCTTCCTTTTGTTTTCTGGGCATTTTAACCTAAACGTTTTAGTATTCAAACAGTGTACTTCCAAATGTTGTTGTCAAATTTATTAAGAAAAGGGAATAACAGCCAGGCTGCTCTTTCACACAGCTTATGGAAAGCTTATTTTATAGAAACCCATCAACATTGCCTGGACCATGTACAATGTCAGCATGAAAAATGGTTCATAAATTCAGTTCTTCAGGATGGCTGTGCGATATTTTATGAAGCACCTCTCCCCAAACATACCATTTGTGTTTGTGGCCCTTTGGATCTAAAATAATTGCAATTAACGTGTTAACTGCAAGCAAGATTTAAGCCTGTTGCTGCCTTAACAAATCCGATTTGAAATATGAAGTTCTGTATGAAAAGTAAACTCTTATAGGATCCCCTTCATGTGGTCTTGTGAAAATTCACAAAATAAGCATAAGAAAACATTGGGCTTGATGTCATCATCTTTTAGGCAGGCACTTGCTTTTCTCCTTCAACAGAGAAGGAAAAAAATGTTTTTTTGTATTTGTTCTATGGAGTGTCTCCCAGAGCAAGCCCAGCTGTGGCCAGTGTTTGAACATGCAAACCATGGATGCATGCTAACTAGAAATGCTCATTTACACGTGCCACGTTCTAGAGGCCTGGCCAATGGCTGGACCTCCTGGCTTCTATCAGCAAGAATCAGAGATGAAGGCCCTGGAATTCCAAGTATCATCACTTTGCTTCATGAACCTGTAGATTCTGTAGATCCTCCAAGGAGAGAAAAATGTGGCCTGATTTATGACACGCTTCTATTCTTTCCAGAATGATGAAATTGAACCTGCAGCATTTACTTATGAAAAGTTCTATGAACTGACACAAAAGATTTGTCCTCGGACAGATATAGAGGATCTTTTTAAAAAAATGTAAGTTCCATTTATGAGAAAGTGTCACATCAATGTTATCCTTGTATTTTTAGATTTCAAAAACATTTTTTGTCCTAATATTTTCAAGTAGTATGTTGATAGTATCTAGGAATATCTAGTCAGGGTTACATTTTCACCCCTTAGTTTATTTGGTGTAAAAGTTTGCTCTGATTTTTTGAGAAACTTTTACGTAAGTTACTTGTAGCACCTGGAACTTCCCCCCCTCCCCTCCCTGCATTGGCTTTACTAACTACCTACAATGTTAACTTGCTCCTTTAGGTATTAACCCGTTATGTGAACTAACAAGATTCGATTTGGAATGTTATTATGTTGTTGAAAAGTCCATTCATTCCAATTATTTCAAATGGATGACTTACATGTTGTTTTTATAATAATGCCTGTGGATAATGCAAAAGAGGGATTGCAGACATTTTCTGTAAGCTAGCGGGAATGATTTCTTTTCTTTGTTGTTGTTGTTGGGTTATTTTTTTCCCCCCTTACAAACAGTCTCTGGCCATTTTAAGAGTTCACCACTACTTCAGGGTTAGAAAATAAGTGTAGAATTATCATCAACAAATGTCAACATGTAAATCGTACCTCCTGTAGCATCATATACCAAAACTTACTTTTTCTAATAAATTTCTTTTCAGCAATGGAGACAAAACTGATTATTTAACGGTAGACCAATTAGTGAGCTTTCTAAATGAAGTAAGCTTTTTCATACATTAACTCCATCAGTCTGTGTGCAGTGGCTTGCCCTCCTCCAGCATCCTCATTGCATGCCTGCATCCTACACCTTCATTCACTTTGCTTCTGACCTGCTGAACTTTCCATGATGGCTTTACCAGGTGCAAAAATCAGCTGCTGCCTTCGTGTGTCCATGCACTTCCTCATTGGCTTTGCACACTGCTTTTTTGTTGGTTTCTTGCTGTGATGTGTAGCTCCGGTTCTGTGTGTGCGTGTGAATTTGATAATATATTCATTTAATTAAATGTGTCTATGTTTTTGCAAGGTGATATTTAAGGTACTTATTTTTTTCTATTTACTTATAAGAAATAGAAAGAGAATGGATTGAGTTTACCACACTATAGTTGGATTCTCCATTGCTAACTTTTCCTCAAACCTTTGCATGGACTAGAAAAGCTTTATTTTTGTCTTTTAATGGATTGCATGTAAGAAAAATATGTAGGTTCGAATAGAATATTTGGACAACAAGCACAACATGGAGTTCCTGGGTGAAAATATAGTGCATATTAGGCCAATGAGATGGCAGGTTAAATTTTTCCTTTTTATTTTTATAACAAGCTCAGAGCTAATTTTAGAACATGATTCACTTAACAACCAAAACTGATTGACAAAATTTGCTTAAGCCCAAGAGAAAGATATTTCAGAACACGTAAAGGTTGCAGTTTTTATTACAACTAAAATTAACTTCTTTTTTCCTCTGCACGTTCAAAAAAGTGTTTTCTCTTCAGTGAAACCTATTGAAGCTCTTGTTAATCCAAAAAGGGAAACTCACTTTTTGTCTAACAAACACATTAATAATAAGAAGACTTTAAGTGAGGAATGGACAGTATATTTTTGTTTCAAAACAATTGATGTTAGCCATTATACCTTATAAAGAGAAAACATTAGGAAAGGCAGTATCATGCCAGATATGAGGTATTGCCTCAAGAAAAAACCACAGGTAGACTGCGATTTGCCAGTTTGCAGACACAGATCACATCTTTGCCAAAGGGCTTCTCTTTTCTTTCCCTGTCAGGGCTCAGTAGCTCCCAATTTGTAGGGTTGCACTTGAGAAGCTATGGTAACCAGAGCCTAGAAGCACCGATGCAGGAGATAAAAGTTCCCCCATATAGCAGTGCAGATGCCTCCACTTTTAAATAATCCTTTCAGTACATTGCAATATTTATTTTACTTGAAAACATTTCAAGTTTTTCACTCCACTAGTTTTTGGTCATGCGAATACTATGTTCATAATCTTTACCCAGATATTATCCACATTCTTACGCCACCGTTGCTCGGAGGTTAAGTTGCTTTGCTTTGCCTCCTTAACCCTTTCCCCATCTTCTGCTTCTTTTAAAAAATGTATTGTGTTATCTCCCTCAGCTTCTTCATGTACTTTGGGTCATTGGTCACCTTACGTTTTGGTGAGATGGGCAAAAATCTTGCTTTCTACTAAAGAGGGAAGACGCTTTAGTGGAGAAAAGATGTACCACCTCATCAGTTCGCCTAGAAAAAGGCCTCTTGGGTGCTCTGGGATGCAGCTGGTACCCAGCCATCTATTAAACATGACAGAGACTTAATATGCATTGTACTGTTCAAATGAGGAAACAGTTCTGAAGTCCTCAGAATAGGTGCTGCATTCATGGGTGCTTATCTCATGCCTTTCCTTTTATGAGTGGTTTCTGTAGACCTACCCGATAACTACTCTTGTTCTTATGAGTCTTGGACAAAAAAATTAATTTTTAAAAGGTATGATCACCCACACTTTCTGGCTCTGACATCCAAATTCTTTCTCAAAATACTTACTCTTTGGTAAGCTTTTATCTATCACTATTACACTGGCCAATAATATTCATTTACTTATGTTTCCTTCTTTTTGGCTTCTCATTAACAGTAAGGTGGCACCTTTAATTTGGGGGGGTGGGACTCATGCAATCAGTGTGATTCTAGATTTCTTTAGGTCACAGAAACTACAAGACAGTCCAGGAAAGTATACAGCCTTTATTTTTAATCAAAGTGTCTGCCCTGAATCTCTTCCTTTTCTGTCCTAGTGAACTCAGCTGGAAGAACTAGACAGAAATCTGAATGTCTCCTTGAAGAAGGCTGTCAAACTTAGAGAACGTTCTGCCACCGCCTTGCACCCTCCCTTTTGAGTCCTACCATTGTCCCTATCATTGCTCCAAAGTCGAAAGCACCCCTTGGGCAGGGCACCGTCAAAACCCATAATGAAAGGAGACAGAGTTCACTCAGGAAGGGAGCAGGCATTGGAATGTAAGGGTCTCTGACTTGAAAAGCTTAGACCTAAACATTTTCAAAATGCCTTAGCCACATAGTCTCAACAAGCTGGAATTCAACATTGTGTTAGAAGACCTGAATCATACAATTATACAAGAAAAAATAAATGAATCCCAGGAACACAAAAGGACAAGGCCCTATTCATTGTTTGCAGATGATGATTATGTAACCTGAATATCAAAAACTATCAACTGAAAAACTCTTTGAACAGATAGAAAGTTCAACAAGGTAACCAAATAAGTGATCAACAAAGAAAAATCAATACACACACGTTATACTAGCATTAATCAATTAGAATAGGTAACAGGGAAAAAATGCCATTTATATTAGCAAAAGCCATGCTGCCACCCACCACCTTCCAGCTTGTAAATCCCTTTATTCCTTATACGAAATTTTCTGTTCAGTGTACTAATGTGTATCTCCAGGAATTTGGAAGGTGAGGAGAGACTATCATTTACTGCCTTGGTCGCCGTGTAAGAGTTTGTACCACCTGCTCTCTACCCATGCCATCACCACTTACTAGCTTTTCACTAGTAGCTTTGCTTCTCCGTATGTCCATGTTCATTGCTCCCCAGAGTGTGATCTGGGGACCAGCAGTATTGGCATCACCAGGGAGCTTGTTAGAAATGCAGAATATCAGGTCCTACCCAGACCTGCTGAGTTGGAATCTGCATTTAACATTATCTCCAGGTGATTTGTCTGCACATTAGAGTTTGTGAAGTGCTGGATTCCTCCTTGGAATGCTTAGTGTGAATGGAAAGAATGTGAGAGCAGCATAAACCTATTATTCTCCATAATGAATTTAGTCATGGAAATCCTCCACTTGGATTTAAAATTTTGCCACAGCTATGTCTCTTGGTCCCATCCGGTGGGCTGAGGGAAACTTTCTTTGCCTATGTTATGGAAATAGCAAACTGGAGTCCAGGAGAGTTGGTGGGGGCCGTCAGTATGAGCTGGCACATGGTTGGATACTGCCACCAACTCAGTTCTCTATGTATCAGGGCTAATTAAAGCTTCTTGGCTTCAGTTAGTTTCACCTCTCTTTCCC